TTTTCCCGAAACCTCCGCATATAGATCCGGAGGTTTCGGGAAAATTCGCGCCGCGTTTGATCTATCTGATAGACTCCCACGCTTCGTAGTTAAGCCAGAATAATTCTACACGCACGCACGCACGTACAACGCGAAGGTGCCTTTTGCTGCGGTATATGGTCTTCTCGCTTCGCTCGCTCCGCAATTTCTTGAAACATAATAGTCCAGTGATACTTTGTCAGGTCGTCGCAAATCGATCTCCCCAGCCCCAGCAGCCTCGTTAGACAATTGACGAAAAAGTAATCATTTTCAACATATGATTTGAGTTCTGATAGTAGTAGTAGTAGTAGTAGTAGTAGTAGTAGTAGTAGTAGTAGTAGTAGTAGTAGTAGTAGTAGTAGTAGTAGTAGTAGTAGTAGTAGTAGTAGGAGTAGGAGCAGAGTAGGAGCAGAGTAGGAGCAGAGTAGGGCTCAGTGATTTTATAAGGGTCTCGTCGTTACGCCACACGACCGATCCAGCTAGACTGGACCCTATCTTCTTCATGGACGAGGCCGCTCAGAATTTCGATGCTCAATGCCGCCAGAAGAGCTTGTTGCCAGCCATCATTACAGTGGGAGATACGGGAAGCTACGGTAGGGTGGCACGAATTATTTCCTTCCAATTATTTCCTTCCATTTCCTTCGGAAAGATGAAGGAAATTTAGAAAATTCTTTCGAGCAGGAAAAATAGGAAAAATAGGAAAAATAAGGAAAAATAAGGAAAAATAAAGAAAAAGTTTCCGAAACGACCATAAACGGGCACAAAAATCCCAAAAAACAAGAGGTCTCACACCAGGGGATGCCTGGAAAATATGCCTGTGTTAGTGGTCTCGGTTAGACTGAGTATAGGGACACCTTGTTCGCCAGGATGATCAAAGATTTTTGTGGCGAGCGAGAATTCGATTCGCACTTGCACTGGAAGGCCCAGCTTGCGGTTTCGGACTGAAACTTCCGGTTATTGCATGGCACTTCGCAATGCGAAGTTCGCACCATGATCATTTCATTCAAGTGGGAAATGATGCATTCCCACGGCCGCAGGCTCAGACTCTGAGGCTCTGACTGGATCATTAATCGCCGTTACGGACAGACCAAGGTTTGCACCTCGCTTCGCATCGTGATCATTCAGTGTTCCCGTCTGCGTTCCTTGCTGATCTGAGCGCAAAAGTTTTCGACAATCCCCTCATTCGAGAAAAAATAAGACTGTTGCAGCAGGAATACATGACGGGGACGATAGAACAGAGTCAGAAGTGGTGATGGTAACGAAGGAATGCAGACATTAAAGAATCAATCAAGAAATGTTCAACGACGTTGGAAACTTTCCACAAGCGCGCTTGTTCAGCGGCGGAACTTTAGCGCACGCCCTGGCTCCTCCAGTGCGGATATTTCACAAATCTGGTAACGCTTTGGATCAGTTACATCTAATCAAGCTATGAAACATGATCAGTAAGTGCAAATCATTTGCTAGCAGCCTGATCGACAGTGACGCTTTGGCGAAAAAATTTATTTTTCCATACTTTTCCGTATTTTTCCTTCATTTTTCCTTCAAACTTCAAATTTCCTTCCGAAGGAAATAATTTTTCTATTTTTCCTTCCGCGTGCCACCCTAAGCTACGGAGGTGGTGAAGACACAGCTGACTCTGAGCGATCTGCACAGACTCGTTCACATCAAGCAGGGAGGGCCGAAAGCCAAGAGTACAAGCATCTCACCGAGCAGCTCCATGAGCTCCGAGATGATCTCTCAAGTCGCTTGATAGAAATCCCATAGACGCTGGGGATGGGAGAGGTATTGACCAACAAACCTGAAGCCCGAAAACCGACGTCTGGGTTTGGCAATACTGACCAGAGGATGACTCACCGAACTGATGTGAATAAGCTAACCGAGCATTAGTCACAGAGTCAAGTGCCTCATCTCTAGTCCCCCCAACTCGAACCAGCCCGCGTCTGCAGGATTTTGGAGTCCAGCGTACCATGCTATCCGTAGCAATTCATTTCTGACACATATATCCCGCTAATCACTCGTTGTCTCATCGCTGGTCATGAACTAAGCGAATTGTTGGTGGCGGGACTGCGCATCATGGTGATCACGCGAATAAGACGATAAAACGCACCTCAGATCGGCCCAGCGTCCATATTCCACCACCTCGTCGAGTCTGGCACCGCCATTTAGTAACAACCAGCATCCAGTTCGCCTCATACTATGCGTCGTTGACCGTCCTCATCGGATTTTCCGCAGACGGCCGCGATTAGCTCGCATATGCCCTCGCGAAGCCGCGATAGCTCCGTTCTTACACCAACAGCAATTGATATCAGGAGTAGGCCGACAAGGTCGGCGCGGACTCAGTATGCAGCCGACTCGAATACTCCTTGGCGAGCGGCTCGCCAAGGAGGAGCGCCATAGATCAAGAAGTGCATACAAGCATAACATCGGTCATTTACCCGAGATGACTCCCGTTCCGGTTGAGTTCAAGTTGGCACATTCATTGCTTGGCGATCGGTGTGGTGCGCCTTTCTGCGTTATGTAGAATGAGTAGTTCAGCGAAAAAGCTTCAAAACGGTATAGCAGTGGGAGCTCATCTTGATAGTGAACGGTCGTTACACCATAGCTGCTACGGACACTGAACACTTGTACATTGTGGAACCAAAAGCAGTACAGTGTATCAGAACGCTCCAAGCATGTAGATTGCCCATTATGATTCTCTTCGCGTAATTCACTATTTATCAACTAACGATCCGTGTGATATACCACCTGGAAGAGAACTACTGCGCGCAACACTGTGGATGTCATCAGAAAGTCGATATAGCATGCCTCGATATAGCATTCATTGCTCAGCCACCAGCGCTGACCAGTCCATCGCTTGAACCTCTAGTTACTCCACATGACATGTCCAGGTTCCCATCTTGATTGACCTCATGTACTTTGTTGGGGCTTTCTGGCCTGCTGTACCCATCATTGCGGCATGCCGCCTCCCATGATGGCGTCGATGTAGCCGTAAAGCCACCAGCGTAGCGCGAGCCATCATCCACTTCCGTCTGCCCAATATCAGGTAGATACATATCAGATTTTGGCCCACGTGATTTTGAGAAGCCCTCATAGAGCTCGGGGAACTTCGCAACTAGTTTCTTCGCAACTCGATAATTTCTGCCGGCCACGGAATTGCCAGAATGCCCTCCACTGCAGTCGTTGCCGGCATGGTTCTTTTTAGTTTTCAGTATAGCGTGTATAGCAGGCTTTAAATTCTTGACAAGTTCTCCAAACTCGGGGAGGCCTCGATTTTTCATCACTATCAGCAACTTCTGAAGGACGTAGTTACCGTATGTGTCCCACAGGAGTTCTTCCAGCCGTCTGTCTGTGAGAAGCTCCTTTGCAAAATTCCTTGCGAATGCTGATGGTCCGCGTACCAGGAGGAGCTCAACACAGTTGGACGAGTACTTATCCTTGGACAAGGTGACTATCGACGTAGACAGGACCCTGGAGACCTCCGCGAGAGCATTGCAGCCTCGCGTACTGCCAGAGAGCGACGGGCTCTGGAGGATATGTTGAACCGCATAGTTGCCGTACTGGTGTCTGGCCATAACGACGAAGTCCGATACAAATATCTGAGAGGAACTTGAAGCACGAGATCGAGTCACAGCCCTACGTCCAGCAACCTCGAAGTGTAACGACCAACAACAACTGGATGCTCTGTCCACCCCGGTCCGTTGGGATAATGTTGTTGCATATCCGGCATCATTTCAACCTGACACGAGGAAGGAGGTCGTCAAATATGCACCAGCTGTCGTGTGTTCCATCACCCGATCTACAGCGGGACACCTCTCGATAACCTTCTTAGCAGTAATGACACCCCATTGTGAGCAGCTTATTTCGATGAACCAATCCAGGAGGCATTCTAGTAGCCAGCCACTTTGGGCCATCACATCGAGAATCTAACCTCAGTGCATTGCCCATTACCCCCCGAATTCAGACATCCAGCCCACCTTGAGGAGCACATAGCATCCATTAGCATCGATAGCTAGCTCCCTACTACATACTCGGATGGCCCCCAGCAGAGGTAGCTGATTCGATCCGCCATAGCGCACGTTGGCCTCACTAATGAGCCTTTGGATAACACGTGTACCATGCGGATGTATGCATAGATCGAACAAGGCACGGCCTTTGAGGATTTGGGTATTCAGTAGCTGCTCAAATGTAGCCATGTCGCTGACCTCGAGGACAGCCTGTGAGACGTAGTTGCCAATAGAGTGGAAGGAGAGTGGTAAAAATAATGGCACGAGTCGATCGACGACTCGGGAGACCTGAGCAACAGATGAGAATGATGATAATGAACAACATCGAGGAGGTCCTCGTACCTGCGAGGCATTGCGGAAATCAGCACGAAGTGCATCCTGTAAGTAGAGGGATGTGACGTGGTCCTCAGCATAAGCCCGGACCTCTTCATCAGTCAACGCAAGGAAGTCATCAAAGGGGAACTGCCCTATGTTCTTCACCGTAAGCCTATCCAACGAGCCTCGACTGATGCTGGCAGCCAGCAAAGCGGGAGGGAGTTCCGCATAACCTGGCGGTAATGGAGGCAGCGCCAGGCGGAAGGGATGTTCGTATTTGCCATGCTCTGACGGTAGGGCAGGGTACTGAGAAGCAGCAGCAGCAGACGAGGTGGTGGTCTCGTAGATGATAGGGTTGATCATAGGGGAGAGGCAACGTTCCCCTCCTTCTCCCCTTGAGTGCTGCTGAGGCACGTTATGCGGCAATGTCGAACTACCCAAAGCCGTGGCAGTGGAGTAGGATACAGTCGGGGACAACACAGGGGACCGAGGGGATGCCCAAGGATCATAGTACTCCGTTGCTGGTGATGGTACCGAGGGTGGAGGATAGTGTATGTAAGGCCTAAATAAGCATCCCTACCACTATTGCTTCATACGCTCGCGTCTACCCAGGTGGCCCCCACGACTGACTGTAGGAGTAGTCGTCGCCTCGTTCCATGCCCAGGTCTGTGGTTGTCCGTGGTGCGTTGTCCATCGAGTAGGGTATGCTGCCAACAGGCCCAGGATATCTCTGGATAGGGGCTGCCATCTCCACTAGGCCTGTCACAGACGATGACCATACAGAGCTTACTAGAGATTCACCTACGCATGTCGTTCACACTGGAGGAGGATTGGTTTATACTGCTTCCGGTGGTACCAAACCAGGATTGGGAAGGACCACGGTCACCCCATTGGTTAACAGAGTAATCGTAGTGGCTTGCGAGTGAGCCGCTACCGGGAGGCGGGCCCATTGGGAGGAGTGGAGGAGGCATCGCTGGTGGAGGCTGCGGCTCGTAATCTCCCCCTATGCATGCACCCTGTGGTATGGCTATCTACAGTAAAGCCACCATGCATATACAAGCATAAGCAGGCCCAGCTTACTCCAGGTGGCGGGGATGGTGGAGGGGGAGGGGGAGGAGGAGGTGGGGGCATCATCATCCACCCCGAGTCCACAGTTGGCGGCCCGTAGTGTGACGGAGGAGGGGGAGAGCAACAGCTCTCGGCGGCTTGTGGAGCAGTAGTTGACAGGAAACAGTCGCGTGGCGAATTCGCCATGGATTGCGTTCGAGAGTCGTAAAGTGGTCACCCGTAGGCAACTCCAAAGACTGGTGTAGAAGAACACCTAGTGAGGGGGCTATAATCGCATGTCTATATGTCCCTTGTCATCCTGAGCACCCAGTCCAAGTGCGCACTGCTAATTGACAACACCACGAGCCTTAGTGGCTAATGGTGACTGAACGCAGCAAGCGGGGGATAGGTAGGAATCATTAAGACGCTAAGGGCAGAAGTAGAGTATCGTTAATCGTTATCGTTAATCGTTACCCTCATCAGAGTCAGCTGGTTTGTCTGGACCAAACATGCATAGGTGTCCGAGGCCTCGAGCTTCCATATCCTCCACTAGACATGCACGGTACTCCTCAAAGTACTCGTCGCAAGAGAGAGCTAGGTCCCCTCGAAGGAATGCATGCCGGTACCTGACCTCACAGTATGATGATGTGGCGAAGGAGTGGTATGAGTGGCATACACACCAATTATTGAAGCATTGGTCGTATCGATCCTTAAGATGCTTACACGACTGAATGGCCTGCTTATGAGCGTCTGCCACTTGCCGACCATCCTATAGGGAAACGGGTTTCTTCCAAATCATTTCTAGATCCTTACAGAGGTTGCTACAAAGCGCGATATTACATCGGGGTCGACTTCAGGTGATGATGTCGGTTCATCCTTTGGTACTGCAGGCATCTCCTTGCTACTGCCACTGCTCTTGGTCTCAGACGAAACATCACTATCTTTCTTGGCTCCCCATAACCAGCCCATTGTCAGGAGGTAAACTACCGAGGGGACCACTCACCACTCTGAGAAACCCATTCAGCTCAAGACAGTGAGAATTGAGAGCGGGAAACACGACAAATATGGTACCAATATAACTCTATCGTTGCGGACATCAAAGAGGAAATATATATGAATACAGGCATGACTAGTAGTACGTTTGACATTATGTGCCGAGCGTTCGAGCTCCTCCTTACATTGAGCCACCACAAAGATGAGCCCGTTAGATAGACTATTGTGACTGGTACTTTCCTCCTCTGCTTCATCCTATGTGTTATCCAATCACCAGTACCCCCCTGGAGGAAGATTTGAGGATACTCTAATGCTGCAATATCCAGATGGGACGGGTTACTGGGATAAGACAATGCTGGGCTAATCTCATCAACGCCACCGTCCACCAGCTCGGCAACATCGGATATTCCCGAGCCTAGCATTCCGACCAACTCCATCTGGCCGCGAAACCCATCTAGTTTCGATCAGATCCTCTACCTCATGTTACCCATTGAAGTGAGTAAGACCAACCTCTGTACAGCTAGTCTCGGCGATATAACCGGAGTCAGTTGCCGTACTACCGTTATATATTTGGCACGGCTTTCCTGGGGCTTAACTATCCTTATCGTTGTGATACTGAGGCACGCATTCACAGACAGCTTGGCTGTTCTCTCTCTCGCGAGCTCAGTCACTCGACAACGTCGTTTCTGCCACTGTCGATGCAGAGTGGGACCCAATCAGCCCCAGAGTCTCTGGGCCAGAGATTCGGAGGAAGACAGACTGAACGAGAAGTTCTAGGGACAACTCGAGTGACAATGTCAACAAAACTAATCAGGAAGAACGGCGAAACTGAGTTGAGTGATGATAGCAGGGACTGGCATAAGCCAATCAATGGCTCGACTGTTACCTCCGACTATGGCAGAAGGAGGCGTTCTGTCTGGGGCGATTGAGCACTCATATTCATGCGGGACCTGGGAGATACCTTCCTCTCTGCTGGTGAGGCGACTAGAGGTACCGATAGAGGCACTAGACTCGGTGAAACCTGAAGGAACGTAAGACGCTCAGGACATCATCGTCGATGTACTTCACTTACCCTTGTTTTAGTGCCAAGCCCGAAAGGTAGCCTCACAGCTTGGTCATAGACCAATTGGCCGTATACGAGTAGCACAAACCCGACAGCTTGAACCCAGGAGTACTTAGTGAGGGGCTCACCCAATCCATTCCCAGGGGCTGCATAGTACCTACAAACCAGACGGAATAAGAACTAAGCAGGAGGAGTTCGAACTACATGAGCACTGATACCAACCAGATGACGATGGTCCTTGAAGCATCCAGGAAGGTATGATGCATAGCCGAAGCCTCTGCGGTAACCATGACGCCGCATATGTTGAAGACGAGAATCGAGACGATGAAACCCAGTGTACAGATAAGCAACGTCGGGGAGTTGGACAGCATCACGAAAGAGTCCTCTGTGTTCTCCATAACATTGCCTACGTCAGATCCTGGGAGATGCTGTAGTGCCGGCACGAAGACTAGGCACATGAGAAGTGTTCCCCAGAAGCCCTCTAGCCCTACTAAAGCCATTGGGGCTACATCGTTCGGGGGCTTGAGAAGGAACTCCTCCAGGACGTACTGTGCAGCACACACAACTTGTCCTGCTATTATGATGAAGATACCGAGAAGCATCAACGGCAGGCTCACGACTTGGGTCTGCTGCTCACGCGAAGAGAGGGAGGACACTCCGACCAAGACGAGAGCAGTTAAGCAGAGGAAGACTCCCACCCAATGATGACGATACATCTTACGCCCGAGGAAAAGCACCGAGAATAGCGCAGAGAAGAGAAGTATACTGCCCTTGAGCATTTGGTATACGGAGACAGGGGTGTAGACCAGACCGATAGCTTGTAGGGAGGATCCTAGTAGATCGAATATCGAAGGGATGCATACCGTGAAACACATACGGAGACCGATATTGGAGGATCCACTTTCAGGCAGAGTGCTGGAAGGTCTCTTATCATTTTTCTGGCGTAGACAATAGTACATGGGCAGCGCTAGGAGCATGGCAACAAACATGACCAAGCTCATGTACCACGGTTTCTGGAAGAAATGGGTCGTGCCGTCGATACCGATACCACTACTCTGAAACATCATTTTCTCTATAATAGAGTTTGCGGACCCAGCCAATAGCCCTATACCAAATATGTAGGAGAAAGCCACCATTAATGGGACTGGAAAACGAGGTGTGACCTGACATAACTATAGCGCACTGTACAACACAACAGTATTGCACTAGTAAAGGGAGAAGTGCACAATCAACACATCCACCAAACACTAACACAGACATGCAACAAGAAGGTATGTAGAGCATCCTTTTCCCAGTGACCATAGTTATAAAATAGGCACATGTGAAGGGTCGTCGTTGTTGTTGTTGTTGAGCTCAGACCTAATGGGTACACAGTCGTTATGGTAGTATAATTAACGATACCACACCAAGGCGTTTAAGGTCTATTTCGCTCCTAGTAAAGCTCTCCGCCTGGGGCAACTATGCCACGATCACGATATATCCTAGTACAATCAATTCCCACACACGGGACAACTATGCCATGATCACGAGATACATCCTAGTACAATCAATTCCCACACACGGGACAACTATGCCATGATCACGAGATATGCTCAAGTACAATAAATTCCTCGAAGCGGGGCAACTATGCCACGATCTCGAAGAATGGTAAAGTATAATCAATTTTCTCAAGCGGGGCAACTATGCCACGATCTCGAGGGATGCTCAAGCACAATAAACTCGTTAAGCGGGGCAACTATGCCACGATCCCGAGATATACTCAAGTACGATGAGTTCCTTGAAGCGGGGCAACTATGCCACGATCCCGAGATATACTCAAGTACGATGAGTTCCTTGAAGCGGGGCAACTATGCCACGATCCCGAGATATACTCAAGTACGATGAGTTCCTTGAAGCGGGGCAACTATGCCACGATCCCGAGATATACTCAAGTACGATGAGTTCCTTGAAGCGGGGCAACTATGCCACGCTCCCGAGATGTGCTTTGGTCTCGATCACGCTGACCAACCTATTCACAAGGGAAGGATTGATCCAATTGATTATTAAGGGAAGCCAACCGACGAGCCTTAAGGCAGTGATGATGCTCCCTAACCTTCGCGAAGAAGCCACGTCACAGAAGTTCTTTTATGGAAGAGCGGCGTCTGCCGTCACCTTGCACGCACGTGCATTAAAAAGCGCGCGCCCGATTTCCGGGCATCATGCGCTGACGATCGCGCGCAACAAGTCTACTATCAGCAGCCATATCGCTAATAGTTATAGAGGGTACGTCCCCTCCATATTTGATTATTATGAGTGGTCCTGATGATACCACTGATGGAGGGAAATGGGATGCTCTGTGGAAAGGTGGCCAAGGTCTCGCTACAGCCTTACAGAGCCAATCGAAGGACGTTGCTGCCAAGTTACAGGTCCAGGCCCACGACCTGGCCAACCAAGTACTACAAGGAAGCCATATCCCTTCCTTCTCTAGTTGCTATCCCCTAGGTATCCTCAACGGAGTGGGGAGGTAAAGTGACCACGGCAGTCCAACAGGTGAAAGGACCGGTAGTAGTAGTGGTTATCAATCGCGGTGTTGACAGGCAGCTGAGGGTCTCCATCGAGACTATCGTAAGGTCGCAGCAACGGTCCTGCCTACCGAGAAGCCCCCGAAGAGGAACATCAACATGAAGCTTGCTTCTCGGATATTTCTAATACCCTTCCCTGAGAAGAATAGGGTCTCCTCGATTGCCGCGGCGTTCCCGGGCGATTGCAAGATTTTCAACATGTCAGAACGAAAGTAGGCCCTAGATGGATCCGAGTTGTAATCAGCCCATGATCGACTTCTAGGTACGACCCTTCAGAGGTGTTCCCAACCATAGAAACCTCAGTGGTAGACATAGTCTTCCCTGGGCTTCCGTATCCCCCTCTCGTCAAGACTGCTGAGATATGCCTTCAAGTCGAAGAGTGGCTCCGTGGAGATCCAACGCGATGTGTTGCGGTAGTAGAAGTACCGGGACTGCTTACTCTACGTATTTACCTCCCTCCTTAGTTGCACTGTATTCCTAGTGGGTTGCCTACTCGTACGGCTGTAGTATCGGCATGCTTACTGTTTTGGCTCTTCCCTGCCGACTACAGCCATCCATTGGATGCGGTGCCCAGGGTATGCAAGTCCCTACCATTGAAAGAAGAGGACCTGTTGCCGAGCCAGAGACGGTAATAGCATTCTGCATGTCTCTGGTGGACTCCACGAAAGTCTAGTTATGCTTTATGCCTTTGATAGGTATCTCTCTCACTTCTACCGCTGCATCTGCAGCCGTAGTATTAGTGACGAGGACAGCTCCGACTCGGGGGGAGATTATCTAACCCCCTTGCCAGTCAGCATGAATATCGTCAAGGTTGTTGTGAAGGCTAATGATGATTGCGATAGCGGTACTAATAGTCGCTGGTGTTGTCCATGATATTGTTACCTGCTTCTAGATAGCACACCTCTGGCCAACCCTACCTCTAAGGTGGGATGGAGGCCGTATCTAGACCTATGGCAGCAGGGACGAAAGCTCTATTCAAGTTGGGAACCTGTGGGAGATGACTCAGCACCGGCTAAGAAGTCCAGAGTCGATGAGCCCATCCTTACCTTCACAATACCCAATGGTGGTATTCCTATCAGCGAGGATGTACTACTATTAGAGATAGCTCAGCGTACTGTCGAGTATTTTCGTCTCGCAGGTCATCCTCAGACTACGGACTTATCCTGGACCTCACACTGTGTTCCGTGTCCCCCTACCTTCCCCAGGGGTTCTCTATCATGACCAAGCTACGTGTATATCGCTTACCCGAGCCGATATCGATGGAGGTGTACTATCGGAATTCGTGGATGATGTTGAAGTGTTCCTCTCCTTTGAGGGTAATAGTATCCTAGAGTTACTTGTAGGATAGCGGTCTTCTCTGAATTAAGATACGCATGTCGACGAGGAGAGTCCAGCTATTCGGAACGCTCGGCAAGTTCTTGCCGATTGCCGGACCAAGTTCAGACGTCATTACACAGAGGACGTCACTAAAGGTCGTAGTAGCAGTAGAAGCAGTAATAGCAAAGGGAATAGCAAGTCTAGTCGGAAAGAGGTAGGGAACGATAATAGATGGTGTCGAAAAGTCAACTTATGTCAGAGGAAGTCCTCGGGAGATTCTCACAAGCGCAGGCATAAGGCTGCTGTCAGCTGCGAGAAGCATAGTCCTGTGCTTACCAAGGCCGTCGAGCCTGCGATGAGCACTCAGGCCAAGGATACTGAGCTTACTCCGAGTGCTGCTACTGTGGGCACTCAAAGCGTGAATGATATATCAATACCTCTGGGGTCACCAGTGGATGATGTAGAATTGGGCCTTGATGACTTGTAATAGGGGTTGCCTTGGAGTAGAGAGGTAGTGTGGTGATTAGGTATGGCTTAACGGAAGTAGATGAGTATACGGCATGGGATGCCCGAGGGGGCTCCCCTCAACAGGATGATGAATCACGACGATGTTGCGGTCCGGCTGATAGTCCCCCTATATTTACGGGGAAGGGATGACACTTGATATGAACTGCTATCAACAACGTCCTCGTCATCATCATGATCATTTTCTTTATCATTTGTCTCATCTTCGGGTGATGCCCTGGCCCCCCCCCCATCTGCTGTTGTCCTCTTGCCACCACTGCTTAGTTGAACGCTCGAGGTTATTGAGATAGTGATGAATGTCTTATCACACCGACTTGCGTTCATCAGTTGTCAAGAAACATCCGTCTGGGGTATCCGGTCGCTCCTTATCATACCTTACCTGGTAAGGCTTACTACCTGCATTATATCACCGTCATGGTCCCATGAGCGTGACTGTTGCATGTCTCTATTCCCGGTGTCCAGAGGAAGGCTGGTCGCTTACCAAGGAAAGGAGGGGCAATTTCCGAAGCATCATTATCAATGATGATGCCATTGATAATGGCCTCAGCAGAGGAGGTTAGCAAGGGAGGGAACATTTCTGTGAAGGATGGTGAGGCTTCTATGCTTCATCTGTTCGTAGTCACCGACAGGGTGATATGAAGTCGATAGAAAGCTGTAGTTGAAGGCCAACGAGGACTCTTCACTGAGGGTGATGTCGTGTGGACGTCTGGAGATGGGTAAGCATCACGCTGGGAAGAGTTCAGAAGGCTGGATGTATCTTATAGAGCTTATTAAGGCAGTTGTTGGGCCCATCGTGACCAGGTGGGACAGGCGGAAGAGGGTTAATGAGTATACACCATATTTGAGTATTATAGCGGTAGCATTGTGCTTGGGAATTTAATAGATGGTCCTGTGTGTTAGTACTGAAGGGTTTTATGCCGCTTTCGAGGATCAACAGCAGCCTGGTCTGCCCTGGAACTGCGCCGTTCTACCCCACAGATCAGCGTAAACTGCAATGGGTTCGTCTTATCATGGCTTAGTGCATGTTGAGTTATTACAGTTCCTCGTTGGCTCGCTCATGCTCCGTTATAGGGGCTTCCCCTTTCACAGAACTAGTCCTAGTGTGGCATCAATGTCGATGAGCAGGGAGCCCAGTAGCAGCGTCTGCCTTCCTCTGCCCTTACGACAGGAGCTCGAGCTCGACAACAACTTCAACCAATCACGAGTGCGGTGGTATACCCAGGTCCTCTTTAGAGGGGAGGCCGTTTGGTCAGGTATGTAGCACATACAATGGTCATGACAATGAAGCGTATAAAGTGAAGTACTGGTCTGATCTAATCTCAACGGTTTTACAATATGAAGGAGGTGTAGCGACGACATGCACAGAGGTGCGGAAGGTAGGTCTCCCCCTGATGAGGTAGTAGTAGGAGGAGGAGCCTTCCTTTAGTGGTGGGCCCGGCATGTGAACCCTCGGCAAGCCCTGCCGAGTCTGCCTGCCATCATAGCGGAGTCAAACGAGATATTGACCGAGACACAGACAGCTAGAGAGTATGCAGATCTATGGTCTCAACCGGCAGTAACAGCAGTAGCAGGAGCCGCTGAGAACAACGCGGGGTGAGCTTCGTGATAGAGGCCTTGGCTCTAGCGCGTCCTAGGCGAACTGTAGCGAGTCTGTAGTTTTTAGGTCAGGACTGATCACCAAAATGGCAGCCATCGTCCGAGGACTGATCTGGAGCAGCGATAGTACAGCTGATGAAAAGGGTAGCACTCTGGATACTCATGTCTGGTGCCGACTATTCTTGTTAATGCTAGACGTAGGAGATGATACCGTACTGTTATCGAGACGGCAACTATCCCAGCTAACGGCCAGAGTGTTGAGGAGGACCTCTGCTGCTCACGACAATTCGGTCTTAACACTGCAAGAGTTCGATCACATTGTGGAGGAGGAACTAACGAGCAGTACGCTGACTGTGTGGCCTCCGGTCTACTTCTGTTGGACCTCTCAGTGAGAGCCACTTCGGTTGGATTCGGGCTCAGTGTCCCAGCCTGTGGAAAGGCAAAGGAGGCTGTTTTAGCGTACATGGCGTCGGTCGGGAAGGCATCAGTGTTCTGTGATACTGTGGGTACGACCTCGGGGATGTTGCGGGGTGTGAAGGTAGTCACAAGCTCGGTCGCAAAGCTCCCAACTCGATAGTAGGTGGGCAGCCCTACAGCAGCAGGCCCTGTCGATAAGGCACATCTGGTCCATAGAATAGCCTTGGGCAGAATCGACTCCATGGAGGTGACCATTCTGGTGACCTTTGAGCCGTTTGCAGTAGGGCACATGTCAGGAGTCTCTCACAGCTGCATGGTCTAAGGCTGACAGTCGGGCTCGAGAACACCTTCGTGCTGGTGAGTAGCATTGGTGATCCTCGCTAATGTCACGGTAGTCCTGTCCCTGGTAGGTCGCAAGCCTTTAGCGTTGCAAGCATTGAAGGAACGGTCTCTACTGCAGGGCCGACTAGACGAGCTAGGTAAATATCGTCTTCAGCTCCAGAGCACTAGTAAGGCCTTGGCTGTGAGGAGGAAGAAGCAGCCTATAGCAACTCTGTCAGGCGGGTTCACAGCAACAGCTGAAATACAGAGTATAGTGGTTGAGGCTCTTTCGGCAAGCACGATGATGGCAAAGGAACAGAAAGTCAGTTGTTATCTACGATAGTATTCTGGAGTGATGCTCTGGCTTAGGTCGACTTGGAACACGTTGATAAGCTAGCCGAGGATATGCAGGAAGTGAGAGAAGACATAGAAGTGAGCTCTACCCGATAGACTGTATCTATGAGGGATTCCCTCCAGCTGGTGTCGGATGCCATAGCGGCGATGTCTCTGAATGGTGGTGCTGCAGTAGAACAGGATCCCGACCTGCAGGCTGAGCTCGATAAGCTCATGGACGAGCAACAGGATATTGACGTGATTGCTGTTAAGGAGCAGGTGGGTGGGCAACAGGAGGCTCTACGACGATGTGGAGCATCACGAGGAGTGTCTGCATTGGTTTTCCATATTGCATCGTTGGTCAGGTTGCAGCAGCACCGTCTGTCCCGACAGATGTCGTAGGAGGGGAGCCGGTGAAAACTATCTTTTCCGAAGACTCGAAAGCTAACAGCACAGCGAGTTCCCCTTCAAGATTGATGATGTCCGAACCAGTGTAGCATCGTGTAGCATAGTTCTCACTCTACTGTTGATGTTGCCGAGTTGAAGTCGTTAAGGTGAGGTGAGTCGCTGCTGCGCCGCGCGTTAATATTCACCATAGTGCCACATGGGTTGCAACCATTGTGTGGGCATGCGCCAACGATCGGACATATCATCGTGTCCATCAAAATTACGTAGCGTCAAGGAGAGCGCCCTTAGAGAGAAGCAGCAAAGAATGACATTCCTCAACATGCTCGAAGCCATGATGTGGTATCATGACTCAACACTGACTAGCACTGCTGTCATAGCCAAGAAGGAGAGGAGTCCTATGTCCGATTCGACACCCCAGTTCTGTTCAATACAAGCGGTGTTGTCTCGAGTGTTGCTGGAGCAGGAATATGATGGAAAGCATATGCATATACACCCCTCCACATATTCTTAGCATAACCGGTTTTTCGACTCGTGTACAGCCACCACAACGAGTATCATCTTGCGGCTCAGGGAGGTATGTACTTATGCTTTACCTGATATGACCTCCAAGTTTCAGGGCCTAACTCTTCGTAGTTAGTGAGAAGTCGAAGACCGGTAAAACGTTTTCTCCACATATTCTTAGCATACACGTGTTAAAACTGCGCCTCAAAATACCAACTTTTACTCGGGGAGTATATCTATAACTCCGCTCCTGATCCAAATATGAGAGTGAAACATGGAAGGATACCATTATGAGCGATTCTCTTTCTGTTGATGTATAGCATTAGATCAGGAGCGGAGTTATAGATATACTCCCCGAGTAAAAGTTGGTATTTTGAGGCGCAGTTTTAACACGTGTATGCTAAGAATATGTGGAGAAAACGTTTTACCGGTCTTCGACTTCTCACTAACTACGAAGAGTTAGGCCCTGAAACTTGGAGGTCATATCAGGTAAAGCATAAGTACATACCTCCCTGAGCCGCAAGATGATACTCGTTGTGGTGGCTGTACACGAGTCGAAAAACCGGTTATGCTAAGAATATGTGGAGGGGTGTATATGATCGTCAGATATGAGATAATCCAACAGCATTCGCCGGCATTACTGTGATGCATTATTGCAAATTGGTTGTCAAGTTCGTATTCGTTGCGTTGAATAAGTAAGGACATAGATACCTCCTTAGGAATGGTTAGAGTATAGCAAGAGTGACATCATGAACCGGGAGGATAGCAATTGGACCAAGGTAGTCGTTGTTGAGCTCACCATCACATTCCTGCTCTACATCGGTGTTGTCGACATATACCTGATGCATCTGGAGGAGACAGTATCCAGTGATACAAACTTGTATCACTGTAGAGAAGTACAAACGTTTATACTTGTACATTAGAGGAGAAAGTATACAGTGTAGTTAATATAAACACGATGATCACCTGTCTCTGATAAGATGGAGCTGAGTTGATATATGAAAGTTGACTTCTAACAGTCGGGGGATACGGTTGGGTTACGAGACAAATCCTTAGGTAGAACGGTGACCGGATGGGTGAGGAAAATAAGAGAGACCATCAGTGATGTATACGCCTTGCCGGAAAGGCTATGGGTGATAGCGTACCACTGATAGGTAGGAGGCGGCCGACGGCGCCGATATGTACATCAGAAGTAGTGTGACAATTCAATCCGCTGTAACAGTTGACAAGATTCAGGTTTTCAACAAAAGTTTGGTCCTGTTGGCGAGACGAGATAAAATGTGACTGTCGCATCTTCTAGACTCGGAAGGAATCTCTCTCGGATCACAAGGTTCATGATATCATCCTTGGATAGCCGTGGCAGTCGACTCTCCTCAAAGCTGACGTCGAAGGGTTGAATGAGTCATAGAGATCAACAGGCAACTGAGGGTTTTGGGACTAGCTGGCTTGATCACATAAGGCTGGTCAGTGTGCGATACGCCTGGTAGGAGGACGCCGCTACCATCGACGTGATAGTCAGAAAGCTGCTCATCGGAGGAGAGTCCTCAATATGCAGAACTGAAATAACTTGCCATGGTGAAGGAATACTCCAGGGGCTGTCGGACGGCTGTTGCTAGGAGCTGTGCTGACAGCACTGCAGGGTGGGATCTATCGGTACCAGGCCCCTAAAGAGGACCTTCAAAGATCGATTCCACTAAGATGATGTTGGAGCCTTCATTATGCGGCTTTCGAGGCACACACCTTCTCCTAAAGTGTCGTACCATTCGATGTTCGAAGAGATAGAACTCGGCGAAGAATAGTTATGCGGCATGTAGATGATGGCCTACCAAAAGGCCCGAAGTCACCATCATCATCATCATCATCATCATCATCATCGTCGTCGTCGGCGGTGTTCTATCCCAAGGTGTTGAGCTGTTCGAACATCAACTGTTGAGGCTCTTGAGAACTACCCCCCCCCCCCTCCCTCCCACATGAAAGGAAGTCCCTTCGGTGTCCTCTGGTGACATTGTTGGATGCAACCAGCCGATCAGTTTGAGTGACACCCCAACTCAGTATATATCACATATAGAGCAAAATGATTGGACAATAAGTCTGTGAATAGAGTCACGAATGTTGATGGGGCTGTTGCCGTTGTCTTTTCCTCCTACGCTCACGTCGCTTGCCGCCTTGCACAGGTGGAGGCGCTGTTGCCGAGTCTTCACCATCTAGCGTCGAGAGCCGTCTCTTGAGATAGATGGACACCAGCCTACCTGCTTTGTAATTCACCGCTGGATCCGTATCGCGATTCGACGATGGTGTGGTACTATGACTTGGCTGGGCGTCCCTAATACATAATCCATCCACTCAGCCATAATACGGATTCGCCCTCTACTGCGGATCCTTCTCATCCCCATTCATTCCCTCCTCCACCTCGTTAGCTGAAGGGAAGGGCTCCTCCGTCAGCAAGCCTACGTACCAGTCACAGGCTCTCAGGGCATAGGAACTCTCTACCAGATGCTGTGTTATCTACATGAGCCTTCGGAAGTGTCCCCTCGTAGTGTTGGGGTTGGTACCGCTGATCGCCCGACAAAGCCGGCAAGTCTGTATCTAAGACCTCACATGTGTTTGCTCCCCAGCCCATCGCCCGACTTTCGAGTAGCACCCGCCTGTCAAGCCGACCAGAGTCCGCTTCCTGATGATAGAATGACCACTAAGAGCAGTAATGCATTCAAGCTACCGAGTCTAGCTGAGTGTAGGGATTGCCTCGCCACGGCCAAGGACACCGACAGTAGGCTGATGATGATGATGCACACCAGTTGAATGCTGACTGCATTGCCAGGCTCACAAAAGGCCACAGCTCATCATCCCCACTACGAACTCAAAGCAAGATTGCTACAAGGGTAGTAATAGTTCAATAAGAACATGGTAACGATCATCATGCACGAGCAAGGCAGTCGAGGTCATCTGGTGGCTGATCTAAGCCTTGAAGATCCTCTCCGAGGGGAGGTATAACATGTCACCAACGCCAAAGCGTATACCAGATCAGCACTCATATTCTTGAGCTGATATCGTCTAGTCCGTACGCCAGCGACAACACTGACATCAATCTGCGTGGGAGGGTCAAGCCTGAAGCTGGCCCTAGCCATGTCCTCGAGCGACCAGGTGGCAACCCTCTTGAAACAGTTGGCATCATCGTAGAGAGCAAAGAACCCCTCAGCATTATTCAGATCGATGGTAAGGAACATGTCACAGTCCGGGCTGATGGTAAGCCAGCCAGCAGTAAGCTCTCGACAACAGCATCGGCCGCCCTGCCGTGTTAGAGCAATAGCGTCCATCGCAGTCATGCCGGACAGCTTGGAGACACTCTCGAAGAGGAGGAGCAGTTCGCGGTTGTTACGATGGTCTCTGGTAGCTGGAGGGTGACGGTGTATGGTGACAGCAGGTGTCGACCATACAAGATCCTGCCTGTGCTCCTTGGGGCCTTCATGAAGCTGAAATTCTAAAGGACTGTATCTGTCCAGGAAGAGGGGCATACCCCCAATGATGCTCTTCATGACCTACGCTTTCCCCATGGGTATATAGCTTTTCGACATGGCACACTGCAAGACGTTATTCAAGCTGACTTGAGGGAAAAGTTCACCATTGAACTCCTCACAGTACTTCGCTAGGTCAGGACGGCTCACACCACCACAGACGAGGCGAATCTGAGTAGAGCGTATAAACCGGCGGCCATCCTCTAAGCGAAGCCTTGCATGTTCCTCATCCTTCTTTCGACTAGCAGCCTCCTTAGCATTCGCCTGGGCCGACATCACTCGCCATACGCCAAAGTAACAGCTAGCCAGGATGAGGAAGAGGACCTGTAGGGGGAGGGAACGACTTGGACGGAGGCCTACTAGTTCACCTGAGGCCTTCCAAAGATCTCCCATAGCCAGAATATGGCGCTATAAAAGAGCCATGCTAACGTGTTGATGATGGTCATGAGGCTGCTGCTGCTCATAAGCTTACACTGTAACCGAAATTCCCAATACAATTCGGGAAACGCAATAAGGTAGTCCCACGAGCTAATAACAAATAGCAAAGTTGGAAAAATACACTCTTTTGGGTACATCACGTCACTGGGACTAATACGAGGCGTATGCTGTCATCCTCAGGCTTCATAGTCAACCTAAAGATACTCCTAGGGTGCTGCGCAAGATGTAAACTTTCCTCATCCGGGAGCTGCAGTTGGAAGTGTGTGACGATAGCAGCAAGCATTATAGCGAGCTCAGCGATCGCCAGCTGTCTACCCACGCAGACCCTGGGGCCAAAACCAAACGATAGCAAGTCAGTACCCTTCAGAAGGTCCTTATAGATAGCACTACTGGGATCAAGCCACTGATCTGGTTGGAATTCCGAGCCGTACGTGAGGACCATCGCCCCGTAGAGATTACAAACAATAACACTACCCTTAGGTAGAGGTGAACCACACAAGAGCACACCAGGCCGAGCGGTCTCTAGTAGAAGAGTGTAGGCGGCAGGCCGTAGCCTGAGGACCTCCATCACGCACGCATGCAAGTAGGGGAACTTAGTCTTATCTAAGACACTACCCGAGCCAGCTGCCAGCTCCTGTCGGAGTTTGTCTTGCACTGTAGGGTATCTCGCCAAATACCAAAGCAGGTAACTCGCCGTACCACCGGTAGTCTCGCTGCCCGCAGTGAGGAAGGTCAATAGATTGCCTTTGAGGGACCCGCTGAGGGTAGGAGCTCCCGATAGGGTAAAGTGTTGGACTAGCGTCTGAAGAAGATCTTCCGGGATGGTGTCGTGACCAGAAGCAATAGCCATCTTCCGCCTAAGGATACAGTCGGCCAGCATTCTACTATTCCTGCCAGCTCGGGTGGTAATCTCGTCGTATATCCTCCATATCTTCTTGAAGGGCCATATCTTGCCCCAGGGGGCACGGTCGCGGAGGAGCTGAGGCAGGTCCTTTTCGATAGCCACTCGGATGTCCTCTTGCACGGCGTCATTCGAGCCCTTCTGGAAGCCCAGATCACGACCGAGGGTCAAACGGCATATCACATCCAGAGTCAGCTTATTGAGATCCTCCTGTACTGTGCACACTAGGTTAGGTACCCGGTTCGATCCCTGGGCCCTCCATTTTTCCATCATCTCTCTCACAGCCTCCTCAATTATCGGAGCAGCTTGCTCATTGACCTTCTTATCGTTGAAGGCAGGCGCAGTGAGACGCCTCAGCTCCCGCCACTCCTCCCCTTCAGCACTGAACAGACCGTGAGCGCCAATACCATCAAAGGAGCGCTTCACCCGAAACCTCCTGATGAAGTCATGCGGACGGGCCTTAAGGACTTGCTCTATTTCTGTGATGCCAGAAAGAACAGTAGCCTTCGAGAAGAGGTAGCGAAAAGAATATACAGGGCCATATTCCAACGCCCATTGGTTAAACTGCTCACCCTCCTTACCACGACGAAGCCGACTGAACATACCTTATGAGGAACAGTACGACGAACAAGTAACTCCAGAACGAGTAGTACCGAATATAGGCGGCCCTCTAGGGCCTTTGAAGGGGAGGTCCCTACCAGCAGCATTATACCACAGTCGATACAGTGCATAGCATACTCCTCCTATTGCCAACACCCTTTTCACAGCAGCTACCCTATCCCATGGGGCATCAGGTAGTATAGACTTGAGCCACTGCTGCCATGGCCCCTCTAGCGGACCGACAAGCAAAAGCACCATTCTGAGAAAAACAATGGCCAAGTCCCTTAACGGGATACCCCTCTCAACAACATGCTGTAGGTGACAACACAAGAAATGTATGGTGTCCGAGACCGTACGCTTAACCTTGGAGTAGTTGTTGAGTAGTATGTGGTGAACATATGCGCCGTGGGCCTCGTAATCCTCCTATAGTAAAATCGATCGAGAATGCAATGATTGTACGGCGTGTTAATGTCTACTGAACTGGCCTCAGCCTACGTAAAAAATCGGCAGCTGATGGACGCGGAAAATGTGATGATGCTGTAGCCCCGTTAAAGCCTCGACTGGCATCAACAATAATACTAGAGGAGATACACAGACGAGACCGTCATATGTTGCTTATCGGGCAGCAACGGTCCGTGACAGCACCCACGGCTACATCAGTGCACACCAGCCGCATCCAAGGCTCTCTGAATGAGGTCGCCCAACCAGTAACTGCACATAAGAGGAATCATACTAAGGAGAAGGAGGAGTATAGAGACACTGCTTACCTAGCGGCGGCACTGAGAGCGCCCTGCAGTAGCATGTACATGCCACCTTTGAGGGGATTCTGACTAACTACTTTGGATTTAACCACTCCAAGAACGAACAGTGTCAGCAAACTCGTGCATACGGTACCTATTGGGAGGGCCCGAGTGAGGGATACCGTGATCATTCCAACGACACGTGTATCGATACGCAAGAGCAATAGATTAACAAAGGCGTGGTATAAAAACCCAGTCGGTGATCGAATATTACCAAACTGGGCCGTTACGCTAACGAGCTGACTATAGGAACAACGTTCCACTAGGTCACGCGACATGTCGGCATCAAACGATGTCTTCATATACGCGGTATAATACACTATGAACTCGCCCAGCATACCCGCAAACGCGCCGGCTACTGGCAAATCCTTTATCAACATTATAAGGAGGAGATAAGACAGGAGGGGGACCTAAAAGACGCTATGGAGGGAGATGCTGTGGTAGGGATACTACCGAACCGAAAATCATAAATGAGCAAAACATGGCGAATCCTGATGCTGCAGCACTGTCTTCAGCGTCTACCGGGAACAACCCTGAGAAGTGGATGTTCGTGGGGGCAACTAGACCGATAAGTTCACCTAGTTCAGTGAGCATCATGTGCTCTATCCAAAACTCCTTGTATTTAGATAATGTCGTAGCCACTGTGATGGCATCATCCTTGCTTATACCACGCGTACGATACAGCTGTACCATCTCAGATATCTCCCCCTAAGGCACCATGAGTCCACCCCAACACCTACCACCACACCGACAAGATACCTCAGGATAGTTCTCGACCTCCCATTGCTCTCTATTCTGTTCCTTCACAGCAACATCAGTTTCGGCTTTAGCCGATACATACCTGAGCTTGGCGATAATAACGGAGCATGCCGTCCCAGTGCTCGTCGGTATTACTCGCCAAAGCCCATTCCAAATGCCCCAGCAACCAGGTTACCTACGCCTACAGCAACCATGTGGGCCAGAGTGAGCTGGGCTCCAACAGAGCCAGCGATGAGAGCAAACATTGTACCTGATACCGTAACAGGGTGAATGTTGCCGCCAATACTAGTAGAATTACTTATTCCATCGAGTCCTCCAAAGACCATGGGCTTGACATAGCGATTACCCGATGCTGTTGGCTCGTTGTGGTCGGCCATTTTAGCCAACAGCTCGTCCCTGAGCAAAGGCAGCAGCATCATCATAAGGTCTACAGGCAACCCCAATAGGAACCCTACGACATCTCAGATGTGAACATCTCATGAGCATTACGACTAGCTGCTGGATTCATATCTTCAAACGCTTGTCGTGCATCTAGCAAACAATGGTGAGAGTCATGACACGGAGAAGCGGGTTTCTTACTGTTCACCCTAGTGTCCGTCAATGCTTGGTAAGACACCTGAGATGACTGCTGATGAGGGGTCCCGGTTGTCGATCCATTATCTAACATATCTCTTAAAAGTTGACGTTATAGTTGACGTGAAACTAACTAAAGAAGAAGGAGAATATGAGATCGCGACCAGCTTGGTTGAGAAGAGCAGATTGCCCCCTTGGGCACTCTAGGTTTCAACCTTTGAAACAACACAAGGCCTACTGTGATCACAGCGATAGTGAGCATATTCGCAGACATCAATAATACAGATAGAAATGGTATCAATAGCTTTTCAACCACTACCACCTAAGCTGGGCAAATAATAACGAGGAGAAGGACTAGCCGTCAGCGCTAGACGACCGCAACAACAACAACAACAACAACCATGCCACCAGCCGTGAAGACTGTACGGCGAAACCAAGAGAAGAGGAGGATGTAACGATTACATACAATGAGATATACGTAAAGCAAACGGCCCAGCAGTAGTGGAGATAGTAGTAATAGCGGCAGGACAACCGAAGACAACAACACCAGAGTCCATACCAAATTTCCGAAACTTATCTCATTCAGAAAAGGGACGAGTTATAATACTAGTCGTATAACAACCTATCCTAGGAGCTCCAACAAAGGGTTGTCGTCCGCCATAGGAGGGAGAGGAGCTCCAGAAAAACCAAGATCAGCATCGTAAGGTTCTCGACTATCGCTAATGAGTGCAGCAGGATCCTCTGGGGGCTCGATAGGGCCATGGTCCTTCACAAAGGCTTCACTAAATATGATACGAACGCATACATACGCCGACACGAGGTTGGGTATTATTACGTGGTGATAGCCTTCTTGGAGTTGCAGGCCGCCGCAAACCGGACAGGATTCCGCTTGCTTTCGTTCTTCATCTTAGTATTCAGCTGAGACGACGTCCTCGTTGAGCCGAAAACCGTAGAGATCATCATCAAATCCGGACCATACCTAACATGAGATGTGTAGAAGGTGTGGTATGACATCTGCCCACATTGACAAAGCCTCATAAAACTTGTCGGTCTCCTTATCCGACCAAGCGCTACGATGAGTCCTCTTGTATGCATCTTTGTATTCACACCGTCCAGATTCGTCCTAAAAATAATAAATAACAGCTCAGAAGCTACCACTCCTTTTATCACTGTCGTTGTCATCATATTGAGCTCTCCGAATATGTCACCAGTCGACCCAGAGTCATCCTGCTGTAAAACAATATTACCACTCTCATCGAACTTCAGTTGTTGCTGAACCACACCATCACCAGCAGTAGGGGAGGGGCTCGAGGTACTCATAACCTTGTCGAAGCTGACCATACCAAAGAGATCGCCAAGGGCCCCATCGAGAGGCGTTAGATCGTCGGCCTGAGTCGCCGGAGTCTTCGGGGATTCACCATCATTCTTGCCCTTCTTCTCCTTCTCCTCAGCTGTATCTTGTGCTACTACCCGGTTAATTAAGTCCACAATAGTACCATCGCCACTCTGGCTAGGACCAGACCCATGGCCCTTGGCACTCCTCTTAGATGGAGGGTTCTCTACACCAAGCTCCGTCCTAACTCGCTTTGCAATACGACGACTGATTTGTGTCGAAGTCAACGGCTTGTCGGCTTTCTTCTTCTTCCGGCCACCTCTCCGGCGTTTATTGCCAACCTCACTACCGCTCTCCCCAGGAGTGCTCGGGGAGGGTGGCAACAACACGATCTCGGTCATACCATGGCTTGGCACCACGTCAGTGTTGGTGCTCAGAGGGGACGGGTCCCCACAGATAGACGGCACATGTGCATTAGAAAAAACGTCCGCGATGGGGTCGATACCCGCATCATTAGCCCGAGGCACCACCACACAAGAGGTAGTAGGACTGTCGTCAACTTGCTGGTTGGGAGTAGCAATATCATCAACCATTACAGTGTGGGCGACAGGTCCATCAGACACCTCTCCGCCCATACCAATGGTCATCATTAAAATGCCTCAAAAAAGTGCCACCTGTCAACAGGACAAATCCGACACAAATTCTGTCCCCATCATTTTCCCAACTTTCCTGGCAAACTACCGCCAGTTGAAATATCGCTCGTACCTATCCCACCATAGCGGAGTCCGACGACCTACACAAAACCTGTCCCCTTGAAATATCTATTCCACGGTTGCGAACAACACAACAACTGTCCCACTACTTATGATACGAAATGCTCGACACAGCAGATGAGGAACTAGCCCCACCTCTAATGCAGAAACGCAGCCGTTAATCCGTGTCGGCAGAATGATCACTCTTAACATTTTCTACTCTGATTTCTTCTCCTCGTGCTTCCCACACTCGTGATGGTGACAACAACCCTAAAATGTGACCAGGTCTTTCCTACCATATCAACAACGCCAACAGCGACTCAAGACTTGAGAAAAGGACAAGAAAAATTCACTTCTTAAAGGGACTCAAAATAAAGAGATACCAATCACAGCCATAGGAATATATACTAGGAGCATATATAAGAAGCACGCGAGAACTATCAGCATCGCCCCGATATCGATATAGGTAGACACTGTCATAGTCGATGACGATTCGCCACCAACACTACTGCCTTTAGACGAGGTAACACGAGATGATTTGGACTCGTCCGTGCAGGAAGTTAACTTAGCGTCAACATGGTCTACTGCAGTAGAAGAGGAAGGAGAAGAGCAGCAGTGAAAGGCAGAATCATCCTAACGACGACCACGCTACACTGATGACTTCGAGGAAATTATTATTCAATTATTGACCATACCACATCATTCCCAATTCTCACCTCATCGTTCTTCAATGGTTCCGGCAACTTGGCCAGGGCCTCGGGCAAACGTCCCATGAAGGGCTGAATAGTATGAAGGTCATCTGAGTTCACTTCCGACTCCTTCTCAAACATATCAAACATCTCCCTGATGCCGAACGTACCCAACGGCCTCGCCTAACAACCACCACAACAATAACAACGTTTCAATTCCTAATAAAGTGTCCCAACTCACCGTATCACGCTTCCGTAGAGTGACAGTAAGATCGTTCTGCTCCTTTTCACCAACAACAGCAATGTAGTTGAAGGCAGCTACCTGGGCCTCGCGGACCTTCTTGTTCATGGTCCTCGTCGAGAGATCGGCATCAGCCTCATATCCCAAACGGACCAACTGCTTACGCACGTAGCTGAGATCACACAGGAGAATAACCCATACTACACGCACTTACGGACCCTTACTCAGCATAGTCACTGTACTTGTCACTAACGGGTACGACCATGACCTGCCTGGGTGAGAGCCAGAAGGGCCACTTGCCACCGAAATGCTCCGTCAGAATAGCAGTGCACCTCTCTATCGAACCGAGAATAGCACGATGGATCATAACAGGACGTTCGAAACCTACACAACATGGTGAATACACCAACAACAACCATCCCGTTGAGGTAACTCACCGTGTTTGAGTTCACCGAGAGTGATCTCGTCAGCCTTGGCCTTGCTTCCAACGTTCTCAACAGCAGCAGAACTTTGAGTACTACCCTTCTGCTGCTCGTCAACAGGACTGTTAGCGGCCTCTGATGCTGCATGGGCATCACCACTTTCCTCCGTCTCGGCAATGCGGTATTGCAAGTTGAATCTAAATATGATAACATGCAGTCACCGGGGATCGAACCCAGGACCACCTTATGGGCAAGTTGAAATCAAGCTGAATGGTGCCGCACTGGTGATAGCGGTTCAGAGCGTCACGAAGGCGGATATCGATCTTAGGACCATAAAAAGCACCTACGACTCACAGTAGACCATTCAAACCACAACACAAGTTCTACCATCGCCAGGGTTCAAATCATAGTCAATACCGCAAGCCTCAAGGGCGTTCTTGAGGCCGCTCTCCGCGGTGTCCCAGATGGCTCGAGAGCCAATGGCCTTCTTCGGCCGAGTCGACAGGCACACCTAAAAAGATGGCAAGGGGAGAGAGCCAAGGACGACTGCATACCGAGAAGTCAAATCCAAAGGTATTGTAGACGAACTTGAGGAACTCGAGAGCATGAACAATCTCATCCTGGACCTGCACATGAAGGGTCAGTGACCATCTCTAGAGGGGTCTGGTCTCACCTGGTCAGGACGGCAGAAAATATGGGCATCATCCTGCTGGAACCTTCTAACACGGGTGAGGCCGGAGAGGGTACCCGATAGCTCGTTACGATGGAGTACACCAAAGTCGGCCATACGGATAGGGAGCTCCTTATAAGAGCGGACCTGATACAATGATGATGTGACGAAATGATGGTATGGCGGCAACCAGCACTACCTTCTGGTCAAATATCATACAGTGACCTGGACAATTCATAGGCTTGAGGAACCACGTCTCACCCTCAATATTCATACTATACCTGAGAACAGAGCAGAGCCTATCTACATGTCGGCCTGCGACACCGAACACACTCACATATTATCCTTGTAATTACCACAGTGACCAGACTGTTGGAAGAGGGCTTCACTGAAGATGTTGGGCGTGATGACCTGTCGAGGAAATCCCTAGGCCGTAAGGGATCAAACAAGAACTAACCTCATCAAATCCACGAAGTCGATACTCCCTACGTATGAAGTCAACAAGCTTGTTGTATATAACAGCACCGTGGCTGGTCCAGAAGCAGGAACCAGGCGACATGGTAGGATGGAAAAAGAACAGGTCCTGAACAGCAACAACAACCGAGCAGTTAACGCCACTACTGATGGCGCCACTCAAGATCAATTCTCACCTGCTTCTTGCCAATAAGCCTATGGTCTCTCTTCATAGCTTCCTCAACATTCCTCTTATATTCCTTCAGCATCTTCTCAGTGGGGAACGATATAGCGTAAACACGTTGTAGGGAATCGTTCTCAGCCTACAGTACTAAAACCATCAAACCCAGCAACAGCCAAGGATACTACTACTATTACTGTTACTACTACTACTACTACTACTACCACTACTACTACTACTACTACTACTACTACTACTACCTTTCCTAGCCAGTAAGCCTGAGAGTTCTTGTTAACCCAGAAGGCCTTGGCGATTCCAGTACGAGGGAGATGAGGACCACGACAAAGATCAACCAGAGACCCGATACGGTAGACCGAAGTCAGCGATCCATCAGGAACCTAACAGGCGCTCAGGCATCCATACTCTTTAGCCAGTCCTCACCTTACCTTAGTAGAAATGAGTTGAAGCTTGAAGGGATTATAAGCAAAGAGCTCCAATGCTTCCTCCTTGGTGACGACAAGCCTTTGGAACTGATGACGACCACCAATACAGAACAGATTCCCCCGAAACAGAGTAGTGCCTTCTGATCACTCTTAACAATCGAGTCAATGCGCTTCTCGATCTTTTCGTAATCATTTGGGCCCAACTTGAGGTTGCCAAAGAATCCATCATAGTAGAAACCGTTCTCGAGAGGGGGTCCTGAGGACGTAGTAAGTATAAGAACTTTACTATAGTGAAGCTTACCAATGGTCAGATAGCAGCCATATTCCTGTTCCATAGCCTCACCAAGAATGTGAGCGCTGGAGTGCCAGAAAGTATCTTTACCTTCGGGGGAGTCAAACTTAAGGAGTTCTAGTTTACATGAACCCTCCAGAGGTCTCGATAGATCCCATACGGTCTAGCAATACAATTTGCTAATAGAACACCACCTAGGTGAGCCCTTACTTCTTTCTGCCATGCCTTCACCGTATTAACGTGAGCCTCCTCCTCATCATCAGATCCTTCATCACCAGCATCAGAGCCAACATCAGATTCATCATCAGCAGCAACAACCTGAGCTATAGCCTTGCTCCATCCGGATATACAGGAGCCTTACCTGGTCCATACTGTCAACAGGCTCAGTGTAGAGGATCTTTGCGGCCACCACGGAGTTGGCCAAACCCTTTGATATGCCAATAGCGATGTCCAAGGGGGTGGTCTCGAACTTACGACCCTCTTTCTGAGTGCCATCAGGCAATACGATGGTGATGGGGTCCTTGGGGAGCGCGGCAAGACGCTCCTCTTGAGCGGCATATAGCTTATCAAAGAGATCCGTGGTCTCCTTAAGGTAAGGTGCCTACACATCCGGACCTACTTTGTATCTTATAAGCTCAACCTCAAGATATTCCGCTCCTCAATGCAAATCATAACGTGCAACACCACCGCGGCTTAACTTACTGTAGCATTATGATATATCTTGAAGTCGCCTTCGAATCTGCCGTCTCACCGAGCCTAGCTCCCTTGCCTTGATATGTCTTTGTCCTAGTACCGTACATTATGTTGTTATTACTAGTAGTAGTGGTAAAGTAGTTGGTAGTAGACAAAGCGCGTCGAAACGCTAGTATAAAGGAGGAACGGAGAAGGAAAAATGTCAACTTCAGCGACAAGGCCATCACCCAATCCCACAATGCTCCATCATGACGCAGAAGGTCCGACACTCACTCAACTCAACGAACATCCGGCTTGTGAGCTAGCGCGCGCCATAGTGATCGATATCCTGCACCCTTTGAAGTGAGCATTAACCTCGAGTCATGTAGGCTGTGACGAACTTGTTGGTCCGCCATGAGGGTCGGTATCAGGGTGAGTATCCATATTGAACACGACGCACACCAGATAGAAGAGGTACAGATAGTAGATCAGATAATAGGGAGCCGATGACCAGAGGGAGCGGACGATCGGGGATAGAGAATCTAGGGACGGGCCGATCAGAAGGGACAGAGGTAGCAAAAAGGGAGACGTAGAAATAAAGAAGGGCACTGAGAACGGTCAATCCAGCAAATCACATAATAGTTCGATCAGACGGTACTCAGATCTGACGACGTTGAACTGAATCTAGTCTGACTGTTTTCTCGAACACGCAAAGGAATATCTGGCGTGCGAGAATACGAAATGAGCCGTCGCACGCCACACTCCGGGGGCCATCTATATCGTCCACTACATACGAATTGAGCCAAAAGAGAAATGCATATCATCATATCTTATCATCATATATCAAGAGAGTCCATCTTCGATACCATTGATCTCGTTGGTGGCATCCTCCAAGAAAAGATCTGAAGGACGGAGCTTCTGAGATCGAAGACTCGAACCAGCTCGGAACTCAAAGTAGTCGTCGGGAGAAAGCAATCGGCCGTAGTACTGATTGGAACAGTGGAGCCACAGTTGGCTACGTAGAGTTGAACGGTCACGAGATGGCCATCTAGCGCAAGTACCCTTCCGTACACAACCTCATAATGACCATCATCATTGGACTCCACGAGTGCGATGTCCAGACCTTTCCTTGAGTGAGCATGACGATATTTCGAGTCCAGAGTAGGATCGATGACAGCGGTGCTGGAGGGAACGGTCGTCATAGGGCCCGATTCAACAGGAGCCAACTCCGCAGAGTGATGGCTTCCTACCGCGGGCGTAGGACCATCAGTAGGGGACGGGAACACACTGTCGAGTTCAGTGTCATGATCGTCCTCAGCTGGATCCTCAGGGTATCTTGAAATAGCCTCGTCGGTTTCAACCTTGCGACAGTTACCCAAGTAGACCTTCTCCTCCAAACCGTTCTTACCGTCAATAGTGACAATAGAATGGTCGACAGCCGTAACGATATATGGACCTCGCCATCTCCAGAGCAACTTCTTAGTCATCGGTTGCCATACATATACAGAGTCACCAGGGTTGACCTCAGGCATACCAGGTCGGCGAAGAGTCTCGAGCCGGGTCTTCTCGCGGCGATCTAACCAACCAGACTTGAACTGAGACCAACGCTGCTGGCGGATAGCGCAGATGTCCTCATATACATCCGAAGGGACTATAGACGGGGCTGAGTCGAGGCCATCATACAGCTTATCGCCTAGGGTCGGGTCTAAGGGTTCCGTCTCAGGGATACGGGCCTTGTTGATGAAGTGCATATCGTGAGGACAAAGGCCACCATCGCCTTCAAAATCGGTATAAGGGCAGGTGTTGACCACCCGAATAGCCCGATGGAAATTGGTAGTCCAGTCGTCCAACACACCGGACTGTTGAGCCACTGTGCGCATGTAATTATGAATCTCCTTGTGGACTCTCTCACCGTGACCCATCAGGCTCGGACAGTGAGATGGCAACAGAACCAGAGAGATCTTATTGACATGGCACCAATAGCGGAACTCAGCCGACCTGAAGCACTGGTCAGAGGCGATGAGCACGGACACCCAATCGGAGCTGTCGAACAGAATGCTGAGGGCTTGGCTAACCTCGGTTGACGATTTCGTGCTGGTCGTACATCCTCGGGTATAGCCCGTCATCAGATCGGTCACTGTTACTCCGAAATTCGGTCGGCTTTCTGGTAAATGTCCTTGTAGATCTCGCAAACTATGAGTATAAGGACCAGTGACGTCTACTGTAGCGACTCGGCCGATGCCCAGGCATCCTGCCCATGGTACGGTAGAGCCAAGAGCACAACGAGCAATGTGGTCGAACTTGCTCACTTGACAGGGTTGGCATCGATCACAGACCTGCTTGACCGTCGTCCTCATCTTACGCCAGAAGTAAGACTTTCGAAGGAGGTTAAGTGTACCTCGACGACCACGATGGGAGAACTCATGGGCGGCATGCGCCAGCCGTGTTTGCAGAGAGACGTCCGGGACTAAGATCTGTGCCAACACAGAAGTCGGGGTTTCCGTGTCATCCGGGATGTCCAGGGCAGTGACTCTCACGACCAAACCGTCTTCGTTGATCTTGTGGTACTTATCCTTCTTATCCAGGACAGCTTGTCGGATCGCACTTACACGAACGGACGAGTTCTGTGCATCTCGTAGCATCTGGATAGTCACGAAGTCGTCGAAAACCTGGTCTTCTGTTTGGATGGCATTGACTTGGTGAGAACCATCCAACCCCTCCGGGGGCGCCTTATACGCGAAGGAGTCGGGACTCAATCGGACACCCTTGTCGATGGTGGAGGGGTCGGTCGGCAGTAGGACAGAACCAGTAGTCGGTCTTCTCGTGCAGACATCACTCGGGTTACAAGACCCACTAATATGCCTGATAGTGACAGGGACACCGGACATGGTCAGCTTGATGACTTCAGCACGGATGAGTCGTAGCCGTCGACGTTCATAGCGACCCAACTTATCGTCCTTGACGGGGCCTTGGCGGAGTCGATGGAGATTGATCTCGGAATCCGTGTACACAGTGTATGTCGCTGGCCGCGGTCCATGTTCCTGTAGCACTAGGTCAACTTCGCTCAACAACTGGAGAGCAAGGTGGAGCGCGCAAAGCTCCTTCTGAACGATAGTATGACCGGTCCGTTGAGCAGGCGGGAAGAGACCATAACGACCGCACAACCTAGTGTAAGAAGGACCCATACCTCTCACATCGACGCAAAATGCCAGCTGAGATGCGTCAGCAAAGACATTGAGATTGTCCGAGAGGTCAACGAAGCGAGGCACCGGTTGCTGTTCATTTACGGTACGCAACCAGTCATAGAGAGCTTGAGTGTCGCCTACGCTGCAGAGAGTATCCCAGTCCGAAGTTGTCTGGTTAATATCAGCGAGGATGAACCGACTTGGAGCACTCCCTTCCATAAAGAGTGACAAGGGATCATAGTACCGGTTGATCAACGAGACAGCTTGGCGCCGCGTGACACGGGCAGGAGTCGACTTAGGCAGTGGATCAGGATAACGGAAGCACACCGTGTCCATGCCAATGTCAGTCGAATAACCCAGGACTCCCTTGTAGTTCCCCGCTGGTGACGGACTGGCATTGTTAAACGACTTCTCATCAGTACAGTCGGCACCGTGTCGTCGCAAACGCCACGTCGTATATTCGTGTTGACAGACAACCTCGATGAAAACCGCTCCTCGTATACAGTAGTCGTCGACATAGATTACAATATCCAGTTTTAGTGGGACGATTGGACCAACGGGCATAGGGTTTTCACAAGTCGGGGTACTCATCGCAACCGACGATTGGGGGCATGAGGTCGGGGGTTTGATCACACTGAAGGGTCGGGGTTGGGCGGGCGTACCTCCGTTCATGGCCACATCCTCTCTCCACGATGAGTTATACCAAGTTGTGACTGAGTGCAACCCGTGGGGACTGAAACTCAGTCCAAAGGGGAGGCGGACGTAGCGAACCGGCTTCGAGCATATAACACTGCAGACATGAGGCTGGTCGTGTGCCGACAAGTGGACCCTTAAGAAGGCCTGGCGCAGATCACACACTTGGTAAAACGGACAAGTGCGCCAGCTAACCAGGAAGAACCATAGACTGCCTGATGCTCGCCCACGGATAGAACAGGGCTCGATATAGTGGTTGATAGCTCTAGCATCCAAACAGATCCGAACTGGTGTTGTAGAAGATGGTCGGAAAACTGGCACAGCAGGGATGAAATACGAAGCGGTCTCGGACGGGCCGTCGATAGGTACCGCGGTATTATCAACAATCAGCGAGTGGACACACGCCTCGTATTGTCGACGTTGCTGAGGATCAAGTCGTCTCAAGACGCTAGCATCACGAGCCTTAGCTTGAGCAAAGTTGGGCTTTGGCCGGTCCGATGAACGCCAAGGGATAGAGATCGAAGGTCGCCCGTCTGGAGCCGAGCGGTCAGGAACCAGTGCCACCGGTAGTAATTGATCCGCGTGACGGGGTACATCGGCATAGTCATCGAGGAAATCCTCGTCTCGTCGAGGACATTGGGTTCCAACTGAATTTGCTCTCAACGAGCCGTCGAGAGAGTCGATAACATAAGTACTCAGGCCGATTTGCTTCAAGTCACGTCCGGGATCTACCGCCTGCCTTAAGAGGCCGCGAATGTCAGGCCTCAAGAGGATAGAGTCGCCGTTGTCAGTGTGGCCATCACCGATAACCCAGACCGCGCCTCCGGCAAGGCGAAGGATATCAAGGGGTAGGATCAGGGGATATCCGAGCTGTGAGGCCACTCTTATGATGAGATCGATAGTCGTTGAGTCGTCTAGAATCAACTTGATATGACCACGACCTAGGACCTTGTGACGTTGTACCCCGTCGAAAGGGATCAGGGTAGTCTCATCAGAAGTCAGCGAGACGGATAAACCAGCTCGTTGCCAACGGTCGAACTCATCAGCAGACACCAAGGCGACCTCGCAACCAGAGTCGAGGAGCCCACGAGCCGGACACGACGTATCGTCATCCCCGCTACTGATCTTAACATCCAACATCTGCAATCGACAGTCCTTGGAGGCAGAGTTGGTATGTACGACATTGACATCAACTGTTTTGGGAGAATCAGTAGTCGTACGAGGGCGTTTTTTAGACGGCTCGGGACAGGGGCAAGCTCGTCCAAGATGGCCGTTGCCGCCACACCTATGACATTGGACACCGGCACAGTGAGCAGCCGGATTCCCAACCGGCCGATCATGATGTACACCACATTGCGGACAGCGGAGATTCAAGAAAGCAACCTGAATCTCGGGACATAGAGAAGTGCCATGGGCGTGGGATAGGCAACGTTGACACTTAAACTTGCGGAGGAACTCCAAGCAAAAGATGGCGGGGTCGCTGCAAGTGTCGTCAGGTCTCTGAGCTGTAGGATCATTGGTGTAGCGGGTAGGTGTCGATCGGGCACTTGGGCGAGAGGGGGGAGCTTGCGCAGCTGGGGTAGGGGGCAGGACCGGGGGAGCTGAGCAGGAGCCTCCAGACTGGACTATGCTAACGTGCTTGCCGAGAGAACTGGACATACACTCGGCATCATAGAAACTACGTGCTCTCTCGCACATGAGGGGAAACGTACGAACCTCATGACGAGGAGCGCGAAGGATATCTTGTTGACCGGATACCGTTAAACTGCCGAACCAAAATGCGCTGATCTCACTGTCGTCCAACGGGCAATGCTTCTCGGTCTGAATGGCTCTGACCAGAGAGCGGAACTTGGAGAGGTGAGCTTCGAAGTGTCGGTGGCCAGGTTCGAGAAGCTGAAGACTACGGAGTGACTGATAGTAGTCGAAGAGACCCGAGCACGACTTAGTATATTCACGACACAAATATTTCCATACCAAATCTAGGTGCCGCTCAAAGTCAACGTGACTGTTGAAGGCAGCCTGTTCCCCTTGCTCCAGGTCGATAGCACAAAGGACGTTGCTCTCAACAGCATTGCTCAGATTGTGCAGTACGAAGAAATACCGAGTTATGGCATCGCCGAATTGGTACAGCGGGGCCTGTTTCACGCTCTGAGCCCACACCATCAGTGAACGCGGATCGCCCATGCCGAGGTATTCACCACCTTCAACCTTCTTCGCAGACTCACATGCCTTCTGCACCTTATTCACACGATCGTGGAAGCGTTGAGAGGATCGCTCAAGAATCGTGTCCGGATAACAGCCTTCTGTGTGCGAGGGAACAGGTCTGGGATTTGGTGGAACCGGAGTGGAGGTCGGTGGGGGTAAGGCGTTAGACGCTACACGCAGTTGCTCGGAGAGGCCTTCCAGTTTCAATCCTAGATCACCAACGACATCGTACAGCTCAGAGCGAAGATCTTCAAGACTACCAGCATAGACGCCGTTCGGAGAGCTAGGATCGTTGCCAGCAGAAGCTTGTGGGCCCCCGCGGAAGGGGATCCCGGTAGAATGTGACGAACTTGTTGGTCCGCCATGAGGGTCGGTATCAGGGTGAGTATCCATATTGAACACGACGCACACCAGATAGAAGAGGTACAGATAGTAGATCAGATAATAGGGAGCCGATGACCAGAGGGAGCGGACGATCGGGGATAGAGAATCTAGGGACGGGCCGATCAGAAGGGACAGAGGTAGCAAAAAGGGAGACGTAGAAATAAAGAAGGGCACTGAGAACGGTCAATCCAGCAACTCACATAATAGTTCGATCAGACGGTACTCAGATCTGACGACGTTGAACTGAATCTAGTCTGACTGTTTTCTCGAACACGCAAAGGAATATCTGGCGTGCGAGAATACGAAATGAGCCGTCGCACGCCACAAGGCTCTGTATCCGCTTATAGTCGATCCCGAAGGATTCCTAGAGTCGGTAAAACATAGTATTAGAGAGAGAGGGTATGGTGTATCGTAGCTTACTTCAAAATGGCTCTTTGGAAGGTTGCGATGATGGACCATCACCGCTCCTTCCGCAGGGTCATTCGGACATAACCAAAGCATTGAGTAATGACCACATACCTAGTATTTCGCATATAGACTAATGTAGGCAACCAGTAGATGGTAACGAATCGATTTTATTCTGTTGAAAACCCCATAGTCTCTAATAACATCTTCAAGTAGGCGAACACCGTACAGTACAGACTGCATGGATGCATCGAACATCATAGACACTCCTAACAAGCATTGGGTTTATGATAGACCGTGTGTTAAAGGGCAAGTGGAATATCTTGACTTCTCGGCACTAGTCTACGGTTACTCTCTGAGGCTCCAAAGCTTTGGTGCTCATCAACCACTATGATGATGTCCGCCTGCAAGTGGCAGGGCTCCATATACTCGATGAAACGCTGGGGGCGTCATCAACGTAGAATTTCTCCTCATATTTCCTAGAAAGGAAACGCAGTTTGACATTGATCTCAAACCCCGTCCGCAGTCTCGACAACAGATTATTGAAATCACCACAGCGGGAAATTGGAGGACAGTGCAATGGAAAAATGCTGTAGATTGCGTTGTAATCTCAACGCGCGTTCGGTGCTGTGGGAGCTACTGGACCTATAACATCGGAGGAGCTCCTTGAGAAAAGAGAAGTCCTTCACGAAGAACAGATCCTCCAGAATCTAGGCTGTGTCCCCTAAGGTCTATTCTAGGTGTAAAGACCTAGGGCCTAGAAGGCATTGGGAGGGAGGCAAAAATCCTAAAGGGAGGAGCTCAGGAGCCATCGCCCGAGGAGCTGCTCCTCCCTCATAACACGCAGGCGAGCTTCCTTGATGACCTATACCCAGGAAGGTGATGAGCTTTCTTGAGGGGCTAGAAGCCAGCTTAACCTTAGTTGAAATGCTCTTTACACATCAAAACGAAGAGTTTTCGAGCCAAAGGATCGAACCTCACGATGTGTAGCGCTACATGGGATTAACCATTCTCCCATAGTTCACGCATCAATAGCCAGGCAACATGACGTGGTTCCTACTATACTCAAGTGTAGATGCTCTTGACCCACACTCGTGAATGCAACAAGCAAATGAGTTTGCCCAGAGCTCTCTGCGACTGTACAGATACTGGGCGAGATATCTGGCTTGGCTGGAATACTTCTAGCGGCCGAGAAGGCTGAGGCCGATCTACTCCCGTTTGGCATTGACGATGACGATTTTTGGATGTTTTTCGCATGGTCAACTCTATCGTTGTTGTTGTGTACTAAGAAGAGCTGATCCAAGAGGGAGAATTTCACAGCCGAAACAGACCGATCAACTGTCCTCTGTGCTTGATGGGTTCATCAATTGAATAACATAACATCAATTGAAGGCATTGCCGCACAAATTGTGTATGGAGGGGACTGAAGCCGTATCATCTACGATCGTAGCAGCATGGATAAAGAACTTATCTTCACTTCGCGAGGTGGTAGGTTCGATTCTTGGCAAAGGAATTTACGACGCTGAACTCCTCTACCCATACTCCTATCGACAAGCGTGGGCCTACTGTTAGGTCCACTTGATAAAATCCATACGAAACTAAACAACTCAAATGACTGTAAAATGTACCAAACGTGACAGTGGGTAACAGCAATGGTTATGAAGAAGCTGCAAAGGCGTGATGGAGGGTGGTGAGCTCTTCAACCCCTCTCTCGACACTTCAATAGAATATCTCGCTGTTCACCCCATAACTTGCTAAGCTGCATTATCAGTCGGGTCAAACGCTAACAAAAGCACAGACGATTGAGACACCGATTCGATACAGTAAACCAACTCAACCAATGCACCCGTAGCACCGTGCAACTACCTGAGATTCCCGATCATTGTCCTCAATCTCCTTGGAACATCGCTTCTTGAGCTCACGCGCCGTCGATTCAGTACCTGCACAGTCGACTGTCATCAACATGTATACGCCCTTAATACTACACATAGCCCGCCATAGGGAATCACTATTGGATATACCATTAGATTGCATAAACCATTTAGTCGACTGAGGTGTTCCTTCTAGTCGTGGTGCCGGCTCTCTAGATGGTGTCGTGAACTCAATGAGTGCCTTCTCGAAGGTGTCCTTGAGAGGATGTCTAGGAGGAGGGGGAGGAGCCTGAGTCCAGTCACTTGGTCAGCCCTCATCGTTACGCCCACACTAGTGCAAAAAAGACCCCGAATTCCCTTGGATGATACCCAACCCAGTGTGCTCACCAAAACAACTCTCATAGATTTCAGCTTCTCCTCCTCGTCCACAACATGCTTGAGTCCATGCCCAGCCTCCGGAGACCCATTCCGCCCATCATCGCCTACTCGCCGTCGTTTGGATGCACTAGATAAAGGCTTTGTCGGCTTCGACCAAGCCTCCTTCAGCCCAGTCAAATACTTGGCAGAGTAGACCTCAACAGCACACAGTAGATCGTAGCGTTAGTTATAAGATATGTGAGCATTACCCGTCGTTTATGCCAAATGTCTAATGTACGCAAATATGGCTTCTTATCATGTGGCGATAGATTAGCAACAAACCCGCACATGTTGGGGTTGAGGAACTTCTCAGCTCCCTGAGGGCCCACTTTGGTATGTCACGAGTACGGCAACCTACCGCTTGTAATAGACTCTGGTTGCTCATCCGGCCCCGCTGAACTATCTCGTTGAAAACATAAAAGATGCTAAGCTTGTGATTAATATGTCGACTATGAGCGTGCTCCTCCGCCAATATTTGACATACTTCACTCGACAATGAGGGCATATCCCCGATTAGCCTGACATGCGGTCATATACTACATTCATGAGCCCTTCGCATACTTGGCAACCCCAACAATGGCTTCCTGAGTGCCCGCGATCTCCCCGAGCTTCTTCCGTAGATGATCCAGTGCTCGGACCTGTTGCTCAGTCAAAGGCCGCTTAGCCCCTCTCCCTCCTGGGCTAGACGGTGACGATAAAGAGGAGGAGGAGGACATACTAACGACGGCAGTCTATTGTCATAACACATTACCCTTCTGATGTTCATAGCGTCTACAGTTTCAAGATTCACCCCAGAGAGTAACACTGATATAACGCAAGTCGTATAAGCATTGGAGACTTCAATGGTAGTCCGCCCACTCTCATGGGTATAGTAATATCATGGATGTTTCCGTACCCCACGAGTATGGCATATGAGTACATGCTGCACAACTAAGTGTTGTGTAAATCGGCATCTATGCAATAGTCAATTACCTCATCAGTAATTGCATTACCTCGGCATGGACCTAACGAATGGGATAGATTTCTACTTATCTTTGGACACGTCAAACCAATTCCAGGATCGACAATCCCTCTACACAGTGGAGGGCGAAGCGTGAGGTGAACACTAACACTCTACCCAGCTTGCTAGCCAATGGTCTCTCATGGATCAGACGGTATGAGCCAGTAGAGACACCATAGTTGCTGGTGCCAAAGCTCAGTTCGGCAAATGGAAAAAACGGAAATAATAACGGCTGACGGAAATTCTTGTGCATGTGTGAGTTTTAAGTCCAACGCCGACAACACGGCTTAGTTAGACTCGCATCGATGCACATTAGCTCACGAGTTTAGCCTTTTGAAAATTATTGTTGTTGTGCAGACTCTGCACTGCAGAGTGCACAACTACTCAAGTTTGAAAATTGTCGATGATTTTACGACTATGATTATACACCTTTTAAACATCTAATTTGTTGTTGGAACAATCAATTTCCTCGAGGCGCGCGAAGTTGGAGGTACGAACCCGAATTGGAAAGATCGTATTCGCAATTACAACTCTCAAATTCGTCGTAGAACATTCAAGTTCGTCCGAAGCCGATAGGAAGTTCAAGTTCGTGTTAATAGAGCTTTCAATTTCGACTTTCGGATTCATCATAGAACTTCCAATTTTGTCGATTTGGAAGTTCCAGGTGTGCACGCCCGACAACTCTTCTAGAGGACAAGACTTTGACCACGAGGCCCATGATGAGCCCACCGGTTGTGAACTAGCCGAGAGGTCGGCGAGTTCAGATTCATCCGATAACTACTCAGAATCGGAAGATTCTGTCCATGAGGTTTTTCGAGCGTGCAAATTTAACACTGTTAATAACAGTGTTAAATTAGCACGCAAGCGTTCTACTTCGTGTCTCACTACGTTGAGACTTGCTAAGATTGCAAGATTTTAGTATTTGAGAATGTAGCCATATCTTGGCTCGAGCATGATATTATGTCAGCTACGCATGGAGCTGTACCAGTAGGAGACCAGGGGGCGCTCGTTATTGAAGTGTCCGGTCCCTCTCGACTATCTCCAGGGAAACCTGTAAGGTGAGTGAACCTTGTGAAGACCGTAGTTATGGGGAATATGACGTATACATTTGCGACTGTATTAACACTCGCATTCTATAGGCCCTTCATGACAACATCAATGCTGTTCATCCCGAAATCTGTTAGTACTTTGTATTAGCGTAATGTTTTCTACGTTGTCTCGGCACCTTGCAGCTGCTGCCGCATCAGCGGCGTCCTCAGGGGCATCAGCCCAAGCCGTCATGACGGTGACTCCTGCTGCAGCATCAAGGATCAAAGACCTTATGAAGTAACGAGTCCCTCTCTATCGCCTATTCACTGCTCTATACGACATGTGTTTCAGTAAGAAGCGTGATGATTCGATTATAGGCCTCCGAGTAGGAGTCGGCAAGAAGGGATGTGAGAACATGAGCTATACCATGAACTACGCCAGAGTAAGTATGCCCTAACCTTCGCCTCCTCGTTATAGTCATCTTAGGATATCGGCAAGCTCGATGAAGTAGTCGAGACTGAAGGAGTTAAGGTCGTAGTGGATCCCAATGCCCTCATGTATCTCATCGGTAATAAGCGTAACCACCAGCTTTCAGTGACATCGTTTGTGATAGTTGGATAGGGTAACTATAGGTTTGCCTCTCAGGTACACAAATGGACTACGTCGACAACGACTTGGCCTCAGAATTTGTGTTCACTAATCCCAACCAGAAGTCGTCCTGTGGGTGCGGTAAAAGCTTTAGTGTTTAGAGCAAGGAGTAGTGAATCATTTATGTATAATATCAGTCGCTTTGTTCACAACATTAAGCTATGCATTGCTCAAAATGAACATATCACAGTTTATGCCACTGTTACTATTGATGGACAGTATGTTGTGTTCTAGTGAGGAGGGAACTTGATATGTTCACATTACAGAGTGTGGCGAATTGTGGTTTATGGCTAAAGAGCAAACTGACTCGGAAGGATCTGCTCCTAAGGCCGCCGTACCAGGTCTGAATGGAACGTAATAAGTGGGTTATGAGCACGCCGTAGTAGTGGTGCTCCTGTGCCTTTATTAGTCTATGCTACAATATAGGTGCTCAGGTTCTATATGGCCTATCCTATTTTTTCGATGTGTTCTGATGAGCATGGTCTGGTGCTCACTGGTGGTGGGGGAGGAGGAAAGGAGTATGGCGTTCTCGACTATGTAGCGTCGTAGTGGTGGTAGGCCTGGGGAATTGATATAAGCCTCAGATCCAAGCGCATGTGTATGATGAGAGTACAGAGTCCTTTACTACCGTATCATCTATAGAGACGGACACCAAGGTCTGCTATGATATCACTTACTGTCCAGCTGTAATACCAAACCTTTCCGTCATCGTACTTCTCAACGTGTGAGCTCCACAGACCGACCATTTCGCAGCTGCCCTCACAAGTGAATGCCTGCTACTGCGATTCGACCCAGTCTCCCTCTCTTTAACCTGCGAAGTAATGCATTTACCACTATGATATCAATGCTCGGACTGTGTGTATCCATCAGGAACGGTTTACTGTGGAATTGTCCAATCCTGGCCAGACTGTTTGTAATGTCCTCCGATACAGTCCCTCAGGAGCGGAGTTACTCACTGGTGGTGATGATGGAGTCGTTCGTGTAGTATCGCATCATTGCACACACGGGCTATGCTTATCGATATAGGTTTGGAACCTGGCCTCATCTACTTCCGCACCACGCCTGGCTTTGGATGATCATCATAAGGAGATAGTAGATGCCGAATGGGCTCCTAGTGGAGATCGCTTCGTCACCTGCGGTCGGGACCGGTCTGTAAAGCTGTGGAGGTACTATGGCTATCTCAGTGCTCTCCGGCGTATCTTGTGTGGGTCTTCAGTGGGGAAGGTGCTTGTACGGACACTATCATACCAGAGAAGATGAAGGCCATTTCTCCCCTCGCCAAATTTGCCAGGTTTGTCAACGATACTTATTTGATCGTTGCGACTCATGGGCCACGAGGACCTTCCTGGCTGACAGTGTAGGTGTATAGTCTAATACGCGTTACAATAGACGTTTACCAGGTACGATGTGGGCTCTGATGGCAAGGCAAAAGAGGTGAAGAAGAGTCAGATTTCTAAAGCTGTAATTTGCAGTATCGCCTTGAGCCAGGATCGATCTAGAGCTGCTATAGGATTTGTGGACAGCACTAGAATGGTAGTGCAGACAGCAGTAACTGCCCATCAACGTGTGTTTGGCAGATACTGAGCTTAACGCCAATAAGTGTATTGCATAAAAATACCGCAGTTGTACACGAGAT